TCGTAGACCAGTTATTAAGCAGAACTCCTTCCGCCCAAAACAAGTATACGCCGGTGGAAAATGAAACCATATCTCTTCCTCACCACGTTGTATACTGTCGGGTAGATCGCTAGTCATGGTCTGAAGCCACAAATGGGTCAAACTAGCATCTCCACCCGGATGCTGTACTCTCAGCCATGGCCCGAAGAAGGTTTCTTCAAACAATTTTCTTTGTGCAGGTGAAAGCTTCGAAGCAATTGTAGTGGCTAGGCTAACTTTATTCCTTAATGTCAATGAAGCCGAAAAAAATTTCTACAAAAAAACAATAAACATACCAAGTTAGATATACCAAAAACTACACTGTCAAGATATACCAAAAACAATAAACATAAATAGTAGTTTATTCTTGAAACTAAAATTTGCAACACTGTTTTGTCTTTTGGTTGAAATGAAAATCGCAACGAGATAATGAGAATCGCAACGCGGAAATGACTATCGCAACGAGAGAATCGCAATGCGAAATGACTATCGCGACCAGAGAATCGCAATGCGAAATAAAAATCGCAACGCGAAATGAAAATCGCAATGCGATTTTTGTTTCGCGTTGCGTTTTTTATTTCGCGTTGCGATTCTCTCGTTGCGATAGCTATTTCCGCGTTGCGATTTTTATTCTCGAAACTATTCTTCTTCTGCATTACTTCAACCAAAAGACAAAACAAAGACAAATACTAACTTCACAGGCTAAACAGTTTAGCAGTATTGGCAGCAATCGAATGAATTTATTAAGAAATCTAAGTGAAATGGTTAATCTATTATTGAAATTACCAGTAAACTTATCATCAATCTCAATATGAAAAACCTAAAATAATGCAAAAATTTCAAAATAAAAATAAAAAAAACTAACCCTCGGAGGTTGATTTTCCATTTCTGAATGATTGTGAGGGATTTTTTACTGTGAATGGTTGTGAGGGATTTCGCCGGCGATGGGGACGGAAATCTTCGGAGATGGGGGACGGATTTCGCCGTAGAGAGTGAGAGATGGAGATGGGACTGAGTGTTGTGATTTTGGGTTTGAGGTTATGAGTTGCGATTACTGTGGACGGTTTAGTTTCCGATTTATTAAGAAAAAATTCGTGTTTGGAATTTGAAAAAAAAAAATACGCGTTAATACGAATGGCGCTATGTAAATCGCGTTGCGAAAGTCAGAATCGCGTTGCGAAAGTCAGTATCTCGTTGCGATTTTGTATTATCGCATTGCGATAGTAAGTATTGCATTGCGATAGTAAGTATCGCATTACGATTTTCCCAATTCGCGTTGCGATTTACTTATTCGCATTGCGAATTGGGAAAATCACAACGACATTGTATACCATCATAACGCGATTTCCAACTATCGCAAAGCGAAATGCAACGCGAATTTGCGATAATGGAAATCGCGTTGCGAATTAGCGATCGCATTGCGATTTTATTGGTCATTTTGGTAAATCCGGAAAAAATTGGTTAAAATCGTATATTATAAGGCATTTTTGGTCACTGAGGCGATTTTCTCATAATTAAATGGTTAGTTGTACAGTTACCCTTAAATTTAAGGTAAAAGGAAGTGACATTTCTTTGTTTTTTTTTAGCTCTTCATTGGGTCCACTATCCCTTTCTAAATAAATTTACTCTGTTTATGCTTGTGTGATATCTAACTATAGATATTGGTGGAATCTAAGTACTTGTGTACAATGGACCAACTTGTTGATTGTTTGCACACACAGACTTTGTTCTCCCCTAAAATCCGAAAAAACAGTTGCATCACTTCATTTCTACTTCTGCCACTTTCTCGGAAAAATGAAATGGAAGAGGGTGGGGGGTTTATGAATTTTAAGCTTTTTTTGTTGTTTTTCCCAAAAAGTGAGTTCCATTAAGTAACATATCTCCATTATTTTTAAAACAACGTTGAAAAATGTGTCGATTTGCTAGTAATCCTGGGTCAGATGTGATTTTGCAGCATCATAGGGAGTGAAGGCACTCTAATGCTTGGATTATTTACCAGTGTCTCCGATCTGAAATTATATAGAAATTCGGCCACTAACTCCGTACTAGGACCGGCTACGAGCTTTTCCCACGCCTCGTCGGCTTGTTTGCCCTGCCGGAGGAATACTTCGGTGGCGTCCACTGTGTGTATCTTCCAATTCTTCTTCTTCCTCTTGCGGTGGATCTTTTCCAATTGTCGACGAGCTAATTTGCAGGTGGTGTTTTTTTATCTCTTGTATTGCTTCTTGCAGCAATTTATTGCGTTCCCGCTTGTTCAAAAACGGGTCGGCTCTGAAGTAGGGGTCGAATTCTAGGATGCCAATGGCTTTCCTAATCCCCACTGTGTAGTTCGCATCGGCATCGAAGAAATTCCTAACTTCATCAAGCATTCCCATTTCAACCATCTTATCCACTCGTTCGGATACATATCGATCGAGCACCGGCATTGCTATGTCTACGCATAGGACGCAACATTCGTATTTCGATCGGAACAGGAAATCTTCGTCGTCGACTAAGGCCTCGATGTACGAATTTGAGCCCCCCGGCTATCATCGGAACCTGGCTGCGGGACAAAATTGATGTCATGGCATCTGAAGCCATGTCGACGAAATCTGTCGCTGTAAAATCCGCGTTCGGATGCATTACACCTAAAAAATGGTGCGGAATTCCACACCTTTCTTCCTCGGGGATTTTGTTGGTTGCTATGTCAAGTCCGGCATGTACGTGTATCTTATCGGAATTAATAATTTCGGCTGGAAATCGGGTTGCGAGGTCAACTGAAAGCCCGGACTTGCCGGTTCCGGTCGCTCCTAGGAGGATCACAACCTTCTCTTTCTCTCGCCTTGGCCCAAAGAAGTTGGATTTGATCACTCCGGAAGGTATGTCTAGTAGAGACATTGTTGTCTTACACATAGATACCGAAAATACCATGATCGTAACTTGTCAACAAACAAAAGAAGATGAGAGAATTGTGTGCACTAATTCCAAGGAATTAGTAAGTTCAGAGAACTACACGAATGACCACAAGGAGGAGCAAAGTAATTTATATAGGGAATGGGCAAGTGCCAAAGGGATCAACTTGCAGTCCAAGAAAAAAAGTAGTTTTATGATATTCCTTCTGCAAATTCAATTGCATTTGTTTATCCTACCTTTATACTTATATTATAATAGAAATGAATTGGACCCTCCAATAGCATGGAAAGGCAGTGTAGTACTTTAAGAAATGGCGAAATGGGCCTTTCTGATTAGGTGATATGGTATTTCTCTAGATGGCTATATATATTACTAGCAAATTGCTGGAAAAAAGATATGATCTAAAGTAGGTTTTCCTGTCCTGCTGCTGCAGATTACAGAAGATAAGACCAGAAAAGTCACACCAAAAAATTAAAATCTATGAAGATTACCGATTACATCCATAAAGTCAAAGAGGAAGAGTACTCACAACCTTAAAGTTGACTATAGTTTGCTGCAAAAAGATTAAAAAGAAAAGTAAAAGAACAGAAGTTTAATGGATTCTTACAGTGACAAGGGAATGTTACTGCCGCTGGATTGTAGCTGTACTCTATTGGAAATGGAGCTTTCCCTTGGATAACACATGATTCCCTCATATCAAAGTGAGGTGACTTTTTTTTTCCTGCACGGCTGATGCTCCGGTTGTTTACCGGCTGTCAAAATCGAATCATGTGCTTTGTCATCAGATTGACGTTCCTCTCCATTCATCCGATGTCAAAGTAATCATCTGGTAATTATTACACTTATACTGCTTTTGTTTTTGAGCCAACAGAAAGGTATCAAAGTTTTTTGAGGATGGAGGGTTGGGATTCAAATATGGCAAGTGTATGGTTATCGTGAAGAATCTCCCCAACAACATTGTTGCCTTACTAAGTCAACGAGGTGTGACATTTTCTATTTCAATCATTTCTACTTGAAAATTAATTAAAATGGATAACTATGTTGGATTTTTTAAAGATGTGTATCTATACTGCAAATAACTTGAACATCTCTTGTTTAAAAAATAAATTATTCTTCTCAAAATAAATTAATATTTTTATTTTTCTAACACGTTAGATATAGCATATATATCGTTCATGCATTACGTAAACATGTTAAGATTTTGATTCATGTGTTTTACATATACTCTATATCACATTTAAGCTAAATTTTAATATTAAATATTTAGAATGATATAATTGATATTCTACAAATATTAATATTTTGGAGACTCTATAAATCGTTTTATGGTTTAGAGGCTAATTCAAAGTTTAAGTCATAGTTTAGGAGCATACCATGAAATTGATAATTAATAGAAAAAATATGTGTTCATCTTTGGGTCATATTTTGTCGAGGCTTTTGGTTATAGACTTTGCCTTTGGCATATCTGAAGGGTAAACTACATAAATAATCACCAAATTTTTAGAGCACTTGCACTTTGGTTACTCAACTTTTAAAAATTGCATATAGTCACCAAACTTTTAGTTTGTTTTCAATAAGCTTTCTAATGTTACCTCCAGTTAGATTTATCTGATGTGGCACGTTACATCCCTTCGAACATGAATTATTTTCAATCCATTGTTCACCTCAAAGGAAGTTTTCTTCTTCTTCTTCAGTCAAATCCATAAAATTCACACCTTCTTCTTTAACAACACAAATGAGGTTGTTCTTATCAGTTTGGTGGTGGTGGAAGCCACAACTACCATGGGTACTGGCAATTAACAAACTAGAAGAAAGAAGAGAAGGATCGTACAAGGGATGAAAACATAAACATATTTATTCAGGTTTAGTGGTAGTGGAAGCCATGGTACTTTTAACATAAAAGAATAAGCATGAAAGAAATCCATGGTATTTACAATTTTCAATTTGGAAACAAGCTCGCATAAACTCCCTGAACAGTAATGTCAGGGGATTACATTCTTGGGAGACTGAATCCTAATATTTTTCCCATTTTCAATCATTCAGAAACCTCACAGGATTACAAAGCTATATGTAAAGGGTTTCTTTCTTTTATTCAAAAAGAGAAGAAAAGAAATCTTGGATTTCTTTTTCAACAGGAATTTTATGTCTTAAAACAAAGCTAGTACATCTGCTGCTTTAACAATTGAGAGTTTGCCATTTCAAGCTGATAATGAATGCAAAATGCATATATCAGCCTCATGTTGAAGCCCGAATAGCACAAAACGAAATCAGAGAGTAAAATCGAGTGGAATTAATGATACTACCTCGAAATCGATCTTTTCGTACAGTTCATGAGCAGGCTTGTTGTCTCTATGGACATGCACGTAAACTAGTTCCAGACCTGTAATCAAATGATCAACTTAGAAAGGAAAATTTTTCCTACTGGTTGCATCAGAAGAGGGTGTATTTAAAGGAAAAGTTTGTAATTTTCTACCCTTTGATCTAGCTGATTCCATAACAAAATAAAGAAGAAGATTTTCTTAACTATTTTAACCTCAATATTTTATTTTGGGCAAAAAGACCCCCACAATGAATTAAAATCGTTAGTTAGCAAACGGTTAATGTTTCAAAATAGAGGATTTTTACTTTAAAATGAAATGATGAGGCCAAAATACTATAAAAAAAATAAGAGTGAAAGTGACTATTCAACCAAATATTAGAGGTTTTTTTCCCTAAAATAAAATATTAAGAATCAAAATACTAAAAGAGATATAAATCAAAATAATTATTTTGAAAAATATTGAGGCCTAATTTTAACATTAAGCCTTTACCTTTTTCGTATTATTTAATTATGCATGTCACTCCGGATAATGTTTTTAGTATGAATTTGTCGATGATGAGAGTGTTGGGCCGTCACCCAAGTAAACGAATGACCCAAGCCTATAAGAAGTCCCGGATACGGCGTCGTTTCAAATGAAGTAAAACAGTCGAACGACATTTGAGAAGTGCCCCGAGCCCTAAATCACCTCCGACTTGGAGACCTGGTAGAAGCAGCAAACAGAGTCCGCTTCTCTAACTCTTTCCCGCTTCCTTTGATTTAGGTTTCAAGTTCTGGTTCTGTTCTCTCTTCTCAACATGAAGCTCGTCAGGCCAGTTTCCATTTCTCTCTTTAATCGCAACTCTTGATTGGAGAAATTTGTCTTCTCTCTGTGTTTAACTATTACGTGTAAAAAAGTAAAACAACTTCTGAAAAACAATATGCAGGTTTTTGATGAAGTTGAACAATGAAACGGTGTCGATTGAGCTCAAGAACGGCACCGTCGTTCACGGCACCATCACAGGTTCCTCTATTTTCGTTCTTGTCTCTCTTTTTCGCTTCGTTAGGGTTTAATGCTCTTTACTCAATTATAATCATAGTTCCCACCTGAAGCGTGTATTCAGCCGCTAGCATTTTGGTTGTATCACTATATAAAACTGAATAGATGTAGCTGTTCACGTGGGCTATTAGATATTCATTAGGTATACCTTTTAAGATGAACTGGTTTTGCATTCAGTATGCTGTCGACTACTCAGCTTATTGATCAATTTTCCTATGTGATGTATTATCATGAATTGGTTACTCATAATGGATTAAATTGGGTCAGCCAACCGCAGATTTTCTTTATGCAGTTAGCTGATTACTATATGGCATATGCACAATTTTTCTTCAGATGACTTTGTGTAGTTTCATTTAGGAATCTGTATATTTTCTTTGTGCTTATTTTCTACTCTTAGGCTTGAAGAGTCAAGTGACACCAGCGAATTCTTCTTGTCTATCTAAACCATGTCTATTGGTACCACATGGCAGTGTCTAATTCTTGCTTTCCTGAAACAAATGCATTCTAAACCATGTCTTTTGGTACATATCATATTAGGAATATATATTTTTTCTTTTATGTCAACAGAACACTTTAGTTACTGTTCAATGTTATGACACAAACTTTGAACCCATTCTACTTCTGGATGCAATGGTTTTCTTTGACATAACTGATCATTGCTTAGGACACTTTAAGCTATATGATGATTTCTATAGATGAATAAATACTGTGATGATATCTAACGGATGAAAAAAGTAATTTCTAAGACCATTTACTATGATACAAAAGCACATAGACATGTGTCTCTTTTGCTTGAAGTCAAGATCCCCTTTTATACAGCACATTTCACTGTAGCTAGTAATAGTTTTTTTCTTCTTTCTTTTGGTCTCTCTATAATAGATTTAGTCTCCTACATTGCTGGTCTTCTTGCTCACAGATGTACTGCCATGTCTCATTCTTTCTTTTATTATAAAAATGTTCTCTGTATGGTTCTTTTATTGGACATTGGTTTTGAGTTTTGACGTGAATATTAGGGATCAAAGACCAATAATCATAGTGGTTTCCTGATTATACATACACATTTTAGCATGTAATTTTTCTTGACCCATTGGTTTTGCTGTGTTTGTTTTAGGCGTGGATGTCAGTATGAACACTCATTTGAAAACAGTGAAACTTACACTGAAGGGGAAAAATCCAGTGAGTTTGGATCACCTTAGTGTGAGGGGTAACAATATTCGCTATTATATCCTGCCAGACAGCTTAAATCTTGAGACATTGCTGGTTGAAGAGACACCAAGGGTGAAGCCTAAGAAGCCAACAGCTGGTATTGTCATTTCTTTCTGGTTTCATTTTACTCAGTGTCCCTGTATAAACATGTTTTCTTGTACTGTTTATCTTTATATTGTATTTCCAAATTCAGGCAAGCCTTTGGGACGCGGTCGGGGTCGTGGCCGTGGCCGTGGTCGAGGCCGTTAAATATGTTGCTCTGTTTTCAAATTTTTGTGACAGCTGGATGTGTAGACAGCTTTGTTGTAGTGAGAATTTGTGGGCGATGTTACGGATTTTAAAGGGATTGCATTGGTATTTTACTGTTGTGTGTGATTGCTTTATTAGCCTGGGTTGAATGCCTTAATCATGAATCCTGTGATTCTCAGCATCGGATGAGGCTTCAGCGGCCTTGGATTATTATATGATCCAAGTGCTAACACAGTACTGTCCTTTTAGATTAACGTTGATAATTCAATTAAAATATAGTAATCTCCATATTCAAACCATCAATATTTAAAAAATGCCCAAAAATGCAATTATGAAATCAAAACTATAAACTTGAGCTTCTGGTAAGTGGTTTATCTTTCTTTTTGTCTAAACCGTGTAAACTAATTGTATAGGTTTCAATTTAGTCCCTGAATTAAGTATTTTATTAATTATCCCGAATATTAATTTAGTAATAATTCACTGTGTTACTTGTAAATTATTAATTACTTTTTTTATTTTTTATTATTAAATTTTTATAGTTTATTTTTGGCATTTTAAAATTATTTATGTGTTTAAATGCATTTATTTATTTATTTTCAATTGTTTATGAAATATTTTCCTTTTGAGATTAATTTTTTTCTTTAATTAATTAGATTTTAGGATATATCCTTTAGATTTATTTCTCTTCAATTTAGTTCATAATTAGAGCCTTAAACTTGAAATTTAGCCCATAGATTTAGATTTCTTATACTTAGTACTTTAATTTAAGGAATAATTTGATTTGGTTCTCGCATTAACCTGCACGAGGGACCATTTTGATTATTCGACTCAGTAATAGGTTAAAATAAATTAAGACTAATATTAGAGCCTCCACTTTAAGTTTAATTTCACTCAAGTCCTTTAATTTAGGGAATAATTTGATTTGGCTCTCACATTAACATGCCCGAGGGACCATTTTGATTATTCGACTCAAAAATTGGTTAAAATAAATCAGGGTTAATATTAGAGCCTTCTTTTTTATGTTTAGTCTTCTAGGTTTTTTAATTTTCATAATTTGACACTTTAAGTTAGGGATTGCCTTTAATTAACTCGCCTAATAATTAGGTCTTTAAATAGTTGTTTGATTGTATCTTGATTTTAAAATAATAAGACAATGTTCATTTATTAAGGAATTAATAGTGTATCTTCCGCGTTATGCTTAGGGGTGACTATTGATAATTCTCGAAGTAAATTAACATAATTTTCAAAACCCTATATCATGATTTCTCAAACTTTAGGGCAATGTTCGTTTATGTAAATCAATAATGAAGATTTCACATTACATGCTCGAGAGTGGTTTTTATTGGTCTTAGTAAACTGACATCCTTCGAATTATTTAGCTAAAAATCAAAACACGTATTGGTTTTCAGTTATTTGAAATTTTCAAATTCAAACTAGACTTAAAAGGGGTGAGTAAAACTCAACTCGACTCGAAAAATCAAATTTTTTTATTTTGAGTTATTCAAGTCAACTCGAATTATCAATTCAGTTTCCGAGTTTGAGTCGAGTTGAAATTTTGAAATTTCGAGTTACTCGAAAAACTAAAATTTTGACTAAGTATTTTAATAGTTTTACGATTTTGTCTCTGATTTCATTATTCTTTCAATTCCTCCTTCATTTTAAGTTCATTTTACCAAATTTGAACCACATGCTCTTAAACCATAGTAGAATACATACATATATACTTTCAATTCCTCTTTTTGATAACAAATTTTCTATTTTTTTAAATTTAGTAACTTAATTTTTATAATTTCCTCATTTCTTTAATTCATCATTTATTTTAAGTCAGTTTTCTACCAAATTTGAACCACATGCTGATATACTACAATAGAATACCTATGTAACTTCAATTCTTACCTTTTACTAAAAATATGCTTTCTTTTTTATTTAGTCCCTTAACTTTGCATTTTAATCAATTTAATCTTTTGACTACAATTGTTTGCAAATTCTTTCTTCCCATCAATTCCTTGACTCCTTTATATTCTTATCAATATTTTACCCACAAAATACTTTCTTTAAAATAAAATATTATGAATATATTTTATAATTTTAGATTGTATTTGATATATTAAATAACATTAAAATGTGAAAAGCATATAATATACATATATCTCATATGGTTAGAGAAAGTCAAAAAATTAGAACAAATCCTTTTCATAATACTATAAATAATTATAGTAAAATTAATATATAAACTCGAATTTTTTTTAAGTTAAGCTCAAGTTGTAAAATACGACATGTCAACTCAAATAACTCAAATTTTTTAACTTGCTCAAGCTTGAAATTGAAATCAAAGTTTTAATTAAGTTAAATAACTCGAAAAACTAAAAAAAATATTTTTTTATTTGAATCCAGTTTTATTCCATCGTATTTAAAACTTTTCCTCATCCAAATACAATCATCATTTCTAGGCAAAGACCTCAATGATTTAGTAATTGCTCTGGACATGAATAGACCTAAGCGGGGTGGGTGGAAACGGTGGTTCCCCTCAACAATTTCAAATCTTTATATATTTCATATATTTTCTATTAAAAAATACTTTCGTCTCTTAAATTTTTATAAGATTATCTCTCCTCCAAATTTATAAATTTGTTTTCCCTAAAAAAATCATGCGTCCTTTATTGAGTATAAATCCTAATTATATTAAGAGTATAGTTACTTAATTCATAATACTTAAATCAAGAATTTTACTTAAAAGATCCCTTTACCTGTTATACCTCACCAAGGTGTTGGTCATTACCAGCTCACCTTGTTTCATATTGTTGTGGGGAATAGCAAGTTTCATTTTTGGAAGCCATGGATGCAAAATCACCCACGTATTTGCATCCATTTCTGTTTCATTTCTCCAACCGTCGTCTGTTTTGGTAGTAGCCAACCCGATAAAGTTATCTTTGTGCTCACTGATCAATGATTCATTTATACTCCTAGTAGTCGTTAGGTCCAGCTATGAGCAATGTTCAAAATACCAATGATACTGTCTTATAACCAAACTTACAAAACAAGATTAATCAATACCCATCTTTTATTCATTTTTAATGACTAGTCGATGATGATGCAATATGGTTTCGGGTGGTTCAACGAGGGAATTTTAAATCATTCAAGACATGTTATTTTATCGTCTAATATATATATATATTTATGATTTAATAACGGTTAACCATCGGTTAACCATTAACCATTAATTTTAACAGTTAGGTTAACCGAAATCGTTTAATCTTAACAATTCGGTTAATTAACCTATAAAATGTGATGGTTATATAGGTTAACGTTTACGGTTAACAGTTACAATTTAATATGCACACCCCTACCTCGTGTCCTAAGAAAAGCGAGTAAAGGGCTCGTGTTATGCGGGACGTGAGTTTCCTCCAACGTGGATATACTTTTCAGAGAATGTAATTTAATATTTCAATTAATGACATCGCGTTATACAAAACACGAGGTTCCCAAAATATTGAAATGTCCCAAGAAATTTCAAGTATCGTGTCTTTTGGACGGACCTCGTTATTTGTGAAACACGAGGTCCTTGATTCTTTTCGAATTTAATTTAATCATTATATTTTTATTGTATAATATATAATAAAATAACAGGAAAAACTATATCGTTATAAATAGACAATACTTATTAAAACTAAAATTTAATATCTATGTAAAATGTTACAAAAAATATTGTTTCATGGTTCCAAAAACAAGAATCATAACAAGTACAATCTATTTTCCAAACTTGGTGGTATGAATTATGCAAACAGTTGATAGGACAATTACAAGCTTCAATTTGTTTTGGGAAGACAATGTTGTGATGCTGCCACGACATTAGCCATAAAAATGGATTCATCTCCGTACGAATAACTTCTAAATTTATTTTTTCAAAATTCGAGAGATCAAGACCTTGAACGACTACTTTATTCGAACAATGTAGATCAAACTCCGAATTTCTTCCACTAAAATAATTATACATATCGTCTCTATATAAAACTTAATGATTATTAGCATCAATGCATCTTTCGTGAAAAATTTTACCGGCTTGATTCCACGACATGATAGCGTAATTATTCATTGAAACGTTTTGAAAAATGTAATTCTAATCCACAACCTCATGAAGAGTCTTACAACTCAACTTCGTGTTGACGAAATTGACGATTGAATTAGACGTCACATGCACAATAATTTTTTATAATAATTCTCTTGGAAATAATTCCACAATATTAATACATGATTTCTTTATAATTTTTTAAACATGTTTAGGGAACCTTCTAAGTGGGCCCTTATCTATAACAGTTATCACACACGTTCCGAAGCAAGGAATCAATGGAACTCGCGTTTGGCAGGATGTGAGGTCCGTTGAAAAGACGCGACGCTTTAAATCGAATAATATCCAACGTGTCAAAAAGGAACTCGCATTACACAGGACGCAAGGTACGTTGAAAAATCGTGACTTCTAATTCAAATAAAATTCAACGTGTCAGAAATAACCTTGCTGGTTACAAAACGCGATGTCATAATTTGTAAATTCCAGAGCACATTCATATCCATGTTTCAGGCGTTCTCCCACTGAAAATGAAAAGGATCCGGATGAAGTTGGCGATGAACCTACTATACGATCAGATTTTGTACTATGACGCGAAAAAGGGGCTTCCATGATCACCGAGGATTTACTGTGACAAGAAGTTGGTCGAACATCAAGAAAGAATCGAAAAACCGAAGCTATACAGTATTTGTAGGAATCTCGAACAAACAAAGAACAAATGTCTAATCGATCACGTCCTCGTATCGATTAATTTTTTAAACAAAGATATTTTTATGTTTTAAATATATCATTGAATCGAATATAATGTTAAAATTTCTTTACATTATTAATTAAGTTTTAATTATTAATTTGTTTAAGTTATTCTTCAACTATATGATTTTTACCCTCCCCGAACATGTCTATCAAGCCATGTTAGCTTCTTCTTCATGTAGAAAACCAAGCTTTGGAACCATTTTGAACGTGATTTTTACCCGCTTACAATGTCTCGTATGTGTCGATATTACCATGAATTGAAATATAAGTTACAATACTACGCCTTTAATCTTATAA